AGTGCAAAACTAAAACACTTGAAACTTGCCATCTCGCTAGTTTTTCAAGGCCTTACAAGATTATGAACTGTGTGTATATATATATTTCAAGAGTGTATTGTATAGGATTCTGTGTGACATAGCAGGGCTAGTCTTGGGGTTTATGTAAATGGACATGAAGCGGGGAGATCTCTCTTCAATGGTGGTTTCGTTGAGAAAACAGGGACAATCATTTTTAGTTTCGTTTTTGTTAGCTCACCTTCTAATCTACGTACATTGAAAAGAAGAACATATGTTCATTGTTGTTGACCACCTATGTTTTTCTTTGTTGGATTAAAAAAATTTAAATTCCACCATTCAATCTCCCATCTTTTGTTAATTGTTGCTGTCCGGAATGTTACCAAATAAATAAATAAAAATGTTAAGACTTGGATAAATAAGGATAAATAAGTTAACGTTTAATTACTATAAAAATCAAGGATAATGAAGACAAATGAAATATATCTCTCTATAATTTTTATTTTAAAATTACATAAATTTACTTTAAAAATATTCTTAAAATAAATTTTTTTATGTCTTCATTCATGATTTTAAGACAATAAAAAAAATACATCCTGAAAAAGTAATACACACACACACTTAACAAGAATACCAATCTTAGATATTAGAGACAACATAGCTAACTGGGTTATCTTCTAAGTTTCAAACTTGAAAACATTGTGCTTTTCTGAGGAAAATAAATAAATTACTATAGGACTTCTTACAAAGTAACAAGTCAAATTTCTCATAAAATTCCAAAAAATTACTAAAGATGAGAAATTTACAAAAGGCGTTATGTTTTGAAATCTTATCCTATGGAGGGGAGAAGTGGGATGATGAATTTCAACTGAAATGCCACAAACAACATCCTTATGTTTTATGCTTAAAATATTATGATTATCCATAGGTTGCACTCAAAATTAGATTCAACTCTCTCTTGCCTTCCTTGTCCAATATTGCTTTAAAGTTCATTTTATATAGTTTTATTCAGCTACTTGCTCGCTTTTTATCATGGTTTAAAGGTTTTTTTTCAATAAAAAAATTGATCATGTAGATTTTTTTGAATTGTTTTTTTTAAATCCCTAAATATAAATCAAAAAATTTATGCACATGTTTAATTCAATAAATTGAAAGTCAATTATATAAATAAATTAAAAAATAATTTATTAACGATAACTAAAAATAAAATTGAAACAATTGAGAGATAAATACAGATCAAGATATTTAATCTCAAAACACAGGTCATTTATTCATTTATGTTTAATGAATATTTTTTTATTAAAATAAGTTTTTTGATTTATTCATTTATTTATTTATTCATTTTTATTAAAAATGATAATAGAAACTGATATACATATAAAATTGATTGAATAAAATAAAAGAATGCAAGGCTGCAGATATTAAAAATATTATCCAAAAATAAAGTTCATTTATATAAAGTTAAAAAAATAGGTAAATCATAATAACCTCTTTAAAAATTACATGCATAAAAAATAATTAGAAAAATGATTGTTATTTAAAAAGTCTAAATAAACAACAACAAAAAAAGTCACAAAGAAGATATATTAATTAAAATATAAATTAAAAAATTATTTAAAAAAGATATAAAAGGCATTAAATTAAAACAAAAAAAATCAAAATTAAAAAAGAAAAAAAGAGATTAGATGTTGTTAGGTGTGATAAGCCAAATCATATATTTAGCTCATTAGAAAAGGGCCACACGCGGGCCTTTGATTTTTTAAAATTGATTTATCATTTGTCCTAAATGTTTTTGGAAAAAAAAAAACATACAATGCATTTTCAACTTGAAAAAAAAAATTGGGCTCTTGGATTTTGGTTTGACCACATACCTAGAAAAAACCCTAAACTCCTTGATAAATACCATAATTTTTTTTTAAAAAAGACCACACAAAACCTAGAAATCAACTTGAAATAAAAAAATTCTTCTGAGCTTAGATATAATTTTTAGTTAATTTTAAGGTTTAAAAATATTTAAGTGGAACCTCTCTCACCAAATGAAATCAATTGATACCAAAATCGATAATTTTTGTAACTGAAATCATTATCAACGCTAATTTTCTCTCTCTAATGTTGGAATCCAGTGAATCTATTTATCTCATCTCTTTAACCAAGGGCTAAAATATAAGGAAAATGAAATTTTGGATCAAAATTGAATCTTAGACATTCAAAGAGACCTAAATTATATTATCTCTAAAGATTAAGGACCAAAGTGTATTTTTATACAAACTTTGGACACATCATCTATTTTGGGTGCCTTTTTATTTTTGTCTTTCAAGGTTGCCTTTGCCTAAAAAATAATAAGCAATTGACATTCAATTTAGGATCAAATCACTGAAAATAAAAGTTTGATGATTAAAGTAGAAAAAGAAAGATGCACACTAAATCCAAATGAATTTGTGAATGTGTGAACAATGCAACACAATCTTTTTATTTATAGAAAAAAACCACATGCTTTAGATTTTTGTACTAGATACTTGACTCGCTCCTTGGTCTTTTTATTTATGGAAAAAAACCACATGCTTTAGATTTTGTACTAGATACTTGACTCGCTCCTTGCTACGAATCAAATATTTTTTCTAATAACACATTTTTGTAGTTAAAAAAGTTCTAAATGAACATAAAAAAAATATAAATATATGTAATCAAATCAATTGAGAACTATATACGTAAATGTTTTTTTAAAATCCAAAAATAATAACTAAAAATAAAATTAAAAAATCAAAAAATAGATATAAATCAAAATATTTTAATTTCATATGACATGATATTTACTCGATTATGTTTGCTAAATTTATTTATTAAAAAAACATTCAATTAAACAATAATAGCAATAGACACAACTTAAATTTGATTGAATAAAATAAAAGAGAAAAAAAATATTATGTAAGACTGTATATATTAAAAATACTATATAAAAATAAATAATTTTTATTTAAAACATAAAGTTTATCTATACAAAAAATTAAAAAAATAATAAAAAAATAAAAAATCTCTTTAAAAATTAAATATATAAAAAATAACCAAAAAAATATTATAAAATTCACTGGCCCATTGCTGTGTACTACTTCTATTAATTCTATTAATTGAAAAGTGTTTATTTAATATGATAGGCCCATATTCTAATTATCTAAGCCTCGACATTCTAATTTATTAGATGCTTTTTTTAATGTACGTGACAATTGTTATTTCTAGCGAGTTGACTAGTAAACTCATGATTCAAAATTTTGAAATAAATTTTAATTTAGTTTATTTAAAATTGATTACTAATCGGATCGACAATAAAAATGAAATGAAGTTATTTTGATAAAAAAAATTTAATTGTGACCCGAAGGTTAACTCGAAAACCCAATGACCCGAGTCTTTTTCTTCTTCCTGTGGGGCCAGGTAGGATAATTGGAACTGTCCAAAGAACAAGGGAATTTTGAAATGATGCCGAAATGCTTGTAAAGAACTACAAAATCTCAGCATGGCAAGCATAAAACGGTCAAGAAAACTTGAACAAACATCTGCAATGGTCTCAATTCTTTTGTATTTCCTTGTCTAATGGCGTTCTGATTTTTATTTGTTGGAATAATATTATCAGTTTTGTGGCTACGCTTGATAGATCATAAACAGACATGAACCTGAAAAGGATCGGCTTATGAGCCTGTGGAAGATTGTCCATATGATTTCACTTCTTATGATGTATCTGGTAATATCATCAGGTTAATCCAGTGCTAAAATATTTCCATTTTTCTTGAACATTGTAGTAGAATCTCATAATCCCTTTGCTTTTGTTGATCATGGAAATAATTAAGAAAAGAAAGAGAAGAATGTGGTAATTAAATGTGAAATTTCATATATATGATACTAAAGAGACAGATGGAATCCACAATGCTCAAATGAAAGCAAACAAACAACACAATTCTTCACATTACTCCATAGACAAGTATAAGAACAAAGCACTCAAAAGATATCTTCGACAAGACAATTAACTCGATAATCAAACTCAAAATGAAACTAGTTTCCAGCTGGTGGTGGGGAGAGGAATGGAATAGAGGGGATTGTGGTCGGGATAGGGATGGTGGGAATATTTGAGGGCATGCTTGGAAGTGGAGGCAAGGTCACCTTTGGGAGACTAGGCATTGTTGGCAGGCTGGGAAGTGGAGGCAGAGTGGGTTTAGGCAATGAGGGTTGTGTGGTGGGCAAAGTTGGCACGGTGGGCTGTGGCAGTGTTGGTATAGAAGGCATTGGTGGCAACGTTGGTTTAGGCAAATTCGGCACGGAAGGTAAAGGGGGCAATTGCAGAAGATGACGAGCTGCCTCGCCGCCTGGAAAAGAAAGAGCAATGAGGAGAGCCAAGATGAAACAGTTAAAACTTGCCATCTTGCTTCTGAATTAATGGCCTACGAATAAGCAAACAAAGAACAGTATGAGATTGTTCGTGATAAACCAGGGCTCGTAATGGATTTATATAGATGGAGATATTGTAGGAGAGATCTCCCTGTGATCTGTGACAGATGGTTGGTTTAGTATAGAAAGAAAGGCAATCATTTTGAGTTTTGTTAATGGTAGGTCACCTTCTTATCCATCTTCCATTGAAAACAATACCATGTTCTTTTTTCTTTCTTGTTGTTACAGTTGTTGTGACTACGAGAATGTTTTTTGCTTCCCATTGTGTACTTATGCTGGCTAGTGCAGAATTCAAACTTGTATTGTTGGCCAAGCAAACCACCGAGTATTTGTTTGGTAATCTAGTTTTTAGTTCGAAGGAACAGCTAACCCCTGAAACTGTTCTTTTCTTAAAAGAAAAAAAAAACATTAGACTCGTTGTTTTAGCCAATCTAATCTTTCTACTACATCGTAATCACAGAAAATCAGTTCTGTCGTCTATGTGGTTGGAGTAGCTAACTAAACTGGCTAAGGCCAGAACAACTTGAACATTCCTAAAAAGTCCAAGTTGAGGAAAGTAAAAGTAGACAAGGGGATTGCTTGTCTCTAACCTGCGATGTTTGTTTAATTTTTAATGGGTTTAAGGTCTCTAACCATGAGCAAGAAACATGGTATTTATGAGCACATAATGTATAGCCATGTCTCGGATTCTGCAAAAATAACAGTCTGTAGATTCTGCAGAAATATTATGCAGTAATAGCTATAATTTTCTGCTGCAACTGAAACTATACTTTATGGTTATTTCCAGAACCGAGTTTGAGTTATAGCCTATAATTTTGTGTGGCATGCTACATGAAATAGTACAAACTTCATATTACAATCCACACCCAAAAAAATCTACTGCAATTATACCATATCACCTTAATTTTATGAAGATAATTATCAGTTTTCTGTTAATGATCAACTGAAATAATTTTATTAAGTCTATCAAATATATCAATGGATTAATTTTCTACTACCAAATAATTATGATTTTTTGTTATTAAGAGATTAGCAGTGTTAGAAATACCTAGAAAGGAGCAATGTAGCAATAAAATTTGGAAATAAAGTACAATCATTCATTGAAAATCACCAAGCCATTTATTTCTTTACATGAAACCTTGAAACTTCTGAAAGGGATCATTTCTTTGTTTATGAAATATAAATGGATGAACATATATATATATATATAATAAGAATATATGTTAGAAAAAAATTAGGTGAGAAAGTTAGGAAAGAAAGCATGATAGAAACATATCGTATTCATATCGTTTTACTCTTCTAAGAGGTAAATTACAACACTTTCATGACACATTTATATTAGTTTATAGAGAATTTTAGATATTGGATAACTAAAAGGATAGTTTTAATGTAGAATCCAAAACTAATTCTAACAATATGCAAGCCATGATGTATCTAATGCGAAGATCACAACAATCCTTTAGAAATCAACATGGTAGTTTCTTATCATTTCCATAAGTATCTCTCATAAACAATACTTGAAACAGTATACCAACATTATTTTCATATGAAAATTCAAGAGAGAACACAAATAACTGAAATCCTCGGCAGTTTGCATGCCACGAAAAAAGGAAATAAGAGGCCATTTTGCATGCATGAACTTTTATTTACGTACTTATATATGAAGCCATACTTTTACCATTTACATATATTCCATATATATGCTGGCTTCATAGTAACAATGATCTTAAGGTCCATTACGAACAGCAGCAGCCGTGTTGGGGAATGACACTATGGAGGGCTCGGCACTGAAGGGATAATTGGTGGAAGTAGAGGCAACCTGACAAGTGGTGGATCAGGCTAATTAGGAGGAACTGTAAAGCCAGGAATATTACGTGTAAATACAGTGTGATCGTGAACATAGTCGTGTACATTGATTCAGCGCGTAAATGCAGTGCGGCAAGCTGCTGCATTTGGTGAGTTTTGTTGCATGTGCTGGCCAAAACTTAGGAACTTCAAAATCTGAATTCAGGCAACTAGTACACATTACTCCAGCCGCTGTTAAATTTTAGGAGTAGGGCATCTTAGTACAGCTGGTTATTCACAATGATGGTTGAGGCCTTATTGTTGTTTTATTTTATTACGTAGCAGAGGATGCTGCCAGCATAAATTGGGCATTACAAAGTATTCGCAGACATTCTTATCTGGTTACCCTATTTTTCCTGTAATGCTGAAACTAGTGAAACTCAGGTATTTTTTTTTTCATATGGAGGTAAATGCAAAATCATTTTTGTAATTGTGCTTATGCAACCCTACTTCTTAGATTACCTTTTGCTTTGTTTTATGATGGTGTTTCGGCATATCTGTTATAGAAAATGAAAAACATTTATGTTTAAATAGAAAAGTTCATATTGCTAAGGTATTGCGACCAGGTATAAAGGAGAGTCAGGGATGTTTTCTGCAGAATTCATTTTCCCAGGACTCCTTTTTTCAGAAATACAGGTTCTGTTGTTAGAAATAATGGAGTGCAAGGTGATGGAATTGAAATTTTGAAAATGTAGCTCGGCTTACAGACTGGAAATTTTGGTTTTATAAAACCGAGAATGTATAAATGGACACAAACTTGCATGCAGAGGTAAAGCTTACGCTGATGGCTCGATCAGGGAAACTTCGTAATGTGAGATGACAGGTTTTTTTTCAAAAGTTGATTAAGGAGAAAACATAAACGAAAATGAAATTTTAAGCAAACAACCTTTTATTCTGTAATAATGCATTAAAATACACACAGAAGTATATGGAAACTACAGTTCCGAGATAGAGGAAACTAATAAAGCACACTGAAGGAAGAAGAAACACCCCAAATAAGCTCACATATGTGAGTCTAACTGTAAATACATACAACTACAAGCCTTCATTGCCTCCCAAGTCATACAAGACAGACAAAATTCCTTAAAAAAGAAACATGAAAGACTGCTGTATGTCCTGCATCCCAAGAAAGGAACCGCAAAAAGGGTTAACTATATTAAGAGAAGATAAATTGAGCGAACTCAAGGAGTAGTAGTTGCTGGAGGAGGGGAAAGGAATGGAATAGAGGGAATTGTTGGAATTGTGGGGATTGAGGGCATGCTTGGAAGAGGAGGCAAAGTGACCTTTGGGACTGTAGGAAAGGTAGGGATGGTGGGAATGCTAGGAAGTGGTGGCAGTGTGGGGTTAGGTAGGGATGGTTGAGTTGTAGGCACGGTGGGCAATGTGGGCTGTGGAAGGTTTGGAATAGAAGGCAATGGTGGCAACTGGAGGAGATGACGGGCAGCTATGCTAACATTCATGCTCGAAAATGTCAGAGCGATGAATAAAGCTACGATAAAGCTGTTGCAAGAGGCCATCACTAGAATTCAAGATACAATACTTGTGATCACCTGAAATGTAGGACAAATAAGTTGTTCTATTCGGCTTGTATGGGAATGTTAAGGCTGATTATACAAGTATTTATTGACATGGAATCATTATGGTGACTTAGGCACTACTAGTTGGTTGGAAAATCCTGAAAGACGATTTTTAGGTTTATTGTTAGTTCACCTACTTCTATATCACATTAGTTGACTATTTCTTTGAGATTAATCTGTTTGGTTATCCAATTAGAGTTCATGGATTAACAGGTTATTCATGAATCAATTGTATATGTACAACCTTAATCAAGCATGGTTTTAAGTCATTTACGATAAACCGCGCGCCATTTCAACCGATGTTTCGCACGGTGGAGGTTTTTCTAAGAGCTGCAACCGCGAAAAAGATAATCGCAGACATCAAATTTAAATTTTGAATCAAGTTACCAAATATGCTACCATCAGTTTATGATAACATCTTTCGTTCTTTTTCTTTTTTTCACGGGATCTCTTTTCTGCATTTTACGATTACTGGTCTGAACTTGTAGAAACACAAAATCGATATAAAACCAGTTTATCAGCCAGTACTTCTGCAGTAGAGGAATATCAGTTAGTAGCAATGGTTTGTGATGCGCAGATCTAGACGACTGCTTTATGCATCAAGAACATCTAGTCACAAAAAGCTTGCATCTCTTGTCGAAAAAATAAATAAATAAATGAAAACTAGGCCATTGATTTCTTTACCTGAAACTTTTGAAAATTCTGAATTGGATAATTTCCTTACGTATAAAATATAAATGCATTAACACATGCAAAATCGGAATATGCATTACTGGATGTATGTATTGGTGTGGAGATCTCACAACAATCCTTCAGAAACACAAAGGGTAATTTATTATCATTTCAAATAGCATCTCAAACACAGTACTGAATTCAACCAGAACACATAGATGCATCTAAACAGTAAATGCACTAACTGTTCCATGGTTAAGATTATTTCAACAGAATTATTAAGAATCTAGAAGAAACCATTTCCATATCCAAGATTGTATCCATAAGGAGTCATTGTTGTGCTGCTTTGATTGAAAGGAGTCCCAGTCATGTTTGTGTTGAAAGCAGTCATGGGTGTGTTTGAACTGAATGGAGCCACAGCCATGTTTGAGTTGGATCCTGTATTACTGGTATCGAAGGGAAGATTCCCGGCAGTGCCGGGGTTTGGAGAGAAAAAAGGCTGTGGAGGAGCTGAATTTTGAAGCAGAATCTGCTGGGCTTGCCTGGCCAGATTCTGCTTTAGAGTTAGAAAAGATGCTTTCAATTGTTCAAGCTGTGCCAAGTCAAGTTCCTGAACAGGACTCTCCCACCAGTTCTGACTCTGACTAGCTTTCCTCAGTTTGTCCAACTCTTCACCTCTTTTCTTTTCCATCTCCAGTTGGTTTTGCGCCTAGTGAATCCTTTATTAGTACAAAGAATATTTTTGTTTTCTGATGAAAGCACACTGATGGTACTAAAAATTGCAATCAAAATTCACGTACCTGAGTTAGCTTCATGTTGAGTTCACGGATCCTAGCATTCCGGTGAGCCTCAATCAGATGAAAAGCACCTGAAGTTTGGGGAATATTCCCCGAGACATAACGTTCCACCACCTTTTCAACAGAAGGGTGGCCAAAAGAGAAGACCTTCTTGCCAGGCGAGAACACAATGATGGCGACTTCAGCACCACACAGAGTTGAAATTTCACTAGCCTTCTTGAAAAGGCCGGACCTACGCTTTGAGAAGGTTACCATTAGATTGCTTTCGTTAGCTATTTTGACCATCTCCAACTTTTGGCGACCCTTGCTGCTTCTAACCATGGTTAACCAACAAGAAGAAGGACCTCACCAAGAAAAAAGAGAGAGAGCTATCTTTAGGACAGTACAGGTAGAGGGGAAATGGTTCACACTTTATACAGGTTTCAGGACCTGAATCTGAGACTTGGAGACGTCAAAATTCACTGAATTCTTGGTGGCAATTCTAGCGTTATGCTTGCATTTATTAGCTTTCTAGTTTTGGAGGGTTCAGAATCCCCTGAGGACTGACATATATGGTATGGAAATTTCACACTATCAACTTGTAGAACCAATCTTTGTTTGCTAGACCGTTCTCCGATTCACCGCCAATGAGATACGTCGAGGAAATCTCTTGGAAACACCCTTGTCCACAGCCTGACCTCCCTTGCCGTCCTGTGATGAGTAGGTGAAATGGTCTAGCCTGCACTCGAAACATCTCAGATCATAAAATCCCCTGGTTGGACTTACCAAATGCGTAACTACTAATTGTCCAATATGAGATATGGGATGTTTGGAAGAAGAATTTGTATGCATATCTACCATTATGTTTTTATATAGTAAACTTGCTAGTATTTAAATTTCTTTCCTCTTATATGAGTATAGCAGAATCCATAATCTGATATAACTCCAAAGGAAAATGTGACATCCTTCTGCCCAAGTAATTTTCTCTGCTTTCATACATTTTCCTTTGCAATTTCATGTGGAATTGGAAAACTCATCACATATGCAATTTTCACTAGATTGCAAGTAAATTTTGCTTTAAAGACCCCCCCACCCCCACAAATAAATTTTTTTTATCTTGGTTGTAATAATTACACCATTCATATGGTTTATTTCCCAGAATATTCTTAGTTTTCTATTCAAGAGATTATCTTGGTTGTAATAATTGCACCATTCATATGGTTTATTTCCCAGAATATTCTTAGTTTCCTATTCAAGAGACTATCCTTATCCTATCTCTGTGTCATAATGGAAATCCCCACAAAGAAATCTCCGATATATTTGTTTTGTTTTTTATTGGAAAGGAATGCCCTTTCCGATATATTTGTTTGATTACTGTAGCTATTTAATTTCGTTGCATCACACATATTGAAGATTTTGGAGGCAAAGTAAAATTGAGAAAACATAACGCAAGGATAATACATCTCAAAGTACAAGCATAAATACAAAGTACCATAAAAATACAGCATAAACAAAACAAATGGCAAAAATCCCAACAGTACTCTAAGGACATTGTGTATGTGCCTAGGCCAAATCAAAGCCACACCAATGGTACATGCAAGTTCTCATCGCAAGGAACAGGGCGAGGAGATCAACTCAAGGGCTAGTGGTGGCAGGTAGAGGAGAGAGGAATGGAATGGCGGGGATTGTAGTTGGGATTGGAATTGCGGGAATTGAGGGCATGCTTGGAAGGGGAGGCAAGGTGATCATAGGTACAGCAGGCATTGTCGGCATGCTAGGAAGTGGAGGCAAGGTGGGCTTCGGCAGCGAAGATAGAGCGGTTGGCAAGGTGGGCTGTGGCAGTGTTGGTATAGAAGGCAATGGTGGCAATGTTAGTTTAAACAAATTCAATAGTTGTAGAAGATGGCGAGTTGCTTGGCCGCACCAAAATGACAGAAGAACAAGTGCAAAACTAAAACACTTGAAACTTGCCATCTTGCTAATATTTCAAGGCGTCACAAGATTATGAACTATATATATATATTCCAACAATGAATTATATAGGATTCTGTGTGACATAGCAGGGCTAGTATTGAGGTTTATGTAGATGGAGATGAAGAAAGGAGATCTCTCTTCAATGGTGGTTAAGTTGAGAAAACAGAGACAATCATTTTTAGTTTTGTTTTTGTTAGCTCATCTTCTAAGCTACGTACATTGAAAAGAAGAACATATGTTCATTGTTGTTGACCACCTATGTTTTTCTTTGTTGGATTAAAAAAATTTAAATTCCACCATTCAATCTCCCATCTTTTGTTAATTGTTGCTGTCCGGAATGTTACCAAATAAATAAATAAAAATGTTAAGACTTGGATAAATAAGGATAAATAAGTTAATGTTTAATTACTATAAAAATCAAGGATAATGAAGACAAATGAAATATATCTCTCTATAATTTTTATTTTAAAATAATATAAATTTGCTCTAAAATTTATTTCAAAAATAAATTTATTTTATGTCTTCATTCATGATTTTAATACAATAAAAAAATACATTCTGAAAAAGTAAAATACACACACACATTTAAGAAGAACACCAATCTTAGCTATTAGGGACAACATCGCTAGATGGGTTATCCTTTTAAGTTTCAAATTTGAAAAAATTGAGCTTTTCTTAGGAAAATAAATAAATTACTATAGGACTTATTACAAAGCAACAAGTCACATTTATCATAAAATTCTAAAAATTTTATTAAAGATGAGAAGTGGGATGATGAATTTTAACTGAAATGCCATAAACAACAACCTTATGTTTTATGTTTAAAATATTATGATTATCCATAGGTTGCACCCAAAATTAGATTCAACTCCGTCTTTCCTTTCTTTTCCAATATTGCTTTAAAGTTTATTTTATATAGTTTTATTCGAGCTATTAGCTCGCTATTTATTGAGGGTTAAATGTTTTTTTTCAATAAAAAAATTAAGCATATAAACTTTTTTGTAGTGTTTTTTCTTAAAAAATCCTTAAATATAAATAAAAAAGTTCATGCACATATTTAATTAAATAAATAGAGAACTATTTATATAAATAAATCAAAAAATAATTTATTAACAATACCTAAATATAAAACTGAAATAATTGAGAGATAAATGCATATCAAGATATTTAATCTTAAAACACGGGTCTTTATCCATTTGTGTTTGATGAATGTTTTTATAAAAATAAGTTTTTTATTAAATCAAATGATAATAAAAATTGACACACATATAAAATTGATTGAATAAAATAAAAGAAAAAAAATATTATGCAAGGTTACACATATTAAAAATATTATCCAAAAATAAATATTTTTTTATTTTTAAAAATAAATTCCATCTATATAAAGTTAACAAAAATAGGTGACTTGTAACAATCTCTTTAAAAATTACATGCATACAAAATAATTAGAAAAATAATTGTTATTTAAAAAGTTTAAATAAACAACAACAAAAAAAGTCAAAAAAAAGAGATATTAATTGAAATATAAATTAAAAAATATTTTAAAAAATATATAAAAGACATTAAATTAAAACAAAAAAATCAAAATTAAAAAAGATAGAAAGAGATTAGATGTTTTCAGGTCTATAAGCCAAGTCATATATACAGCTCATTAGAAAAGAGCCACACATGGGCTTTTATTTTTTGAAAATTGATTTACTATTTGTCCTAAATGTTTTTGAAAAAAAAAACATACAATGCATTTTCAGCTTAAAAAAAAAGAAGGGGTTGTTGGGTTTTGGTTTGACCACATACCTAGAAAAAACCCTAAACTCATTGATAAATACCATAAAAACATTAAAAAAAAAAACCACACAAAACCTTGAAATCAGCTTGAAACAAAAAAATTCATCCGAGTTTAGATATGATTTTTAAGTAATTTTAAGGTTTAAAAACATTTAAGTAGAACCCCCCTCACTAAATGAAATCAATTGATATCAAAATCAATAATTTTTATGACTGAAATCATTATCAACACTAATTTTCTCTCTCTAATGTTGGAATCCAGTAAATCTAGTTGTCTCATCTCTTTAACCATGGGCTAAAGTATAAGGAAAATGAAATTTTGGATCAAAATTGAATCTTATACATTCAAAGGGATCTAAATTATATTATTTCTAAAGATTAAGGACCAAAGTGTATTTTTGAACAAACTTTGGACGCATAATCTATTTTGGGTGCCTTTTTATTTTTGTCTTTTGTCTTTCGATGTTGCCTTTGCCTAAAAAATAATAAGCAATTGACATTCAATTTAGGATCAAATCACTGAAAATAAAAGTTTGATGATTAAAGTAGAAAAAGAAAGATGCACACTAAATACAAATTAATTTGTGAATGCGTGAAAAATGCAACACAATCTTTTTCTTTACTGGGAAAACACCAAATGCTTCAAAGTTTTGTACTAGATATTTGACTCGCTCTTTGCTACGAGTGAAATATTTTTTTCTAATAAAAAAATTATATATACAGGTTTTGTTTACTCTTTTTTGTAGTTAAAAAAGTTCTAAATGAAAATAAAAAAAATTATAAATATATGTAATTAAATAAATTGGGAACTATGTGTGTAATTTAAAAAAAAATCCAAAAATGATAACTAAAAATAAAATAAAAAAATAGGTATAAATCAATATATTTTAATTTCACAAACAAGATATCAAGATATGTTTTAATTTCACAAGATAAGATATTTACTCGATTGTATTTGCTAAATCTATTTATTAAAAAAATTATTCAATTAAACAATAATAAAAATAGACACAACTTAAATTTGATTGATTAAAATAAAAGAGAAAAAAATATTATGTAAGACTACACATATTAAAAATATTATATAAAAATAAATATTTTTTATTTAAAATGTAAAGTTTATCTATACAAAAAATTAAAAAAAAATCATAAATAATTTAAAAAAAATCCTTTTAAAAATTAATTATATAAAAAATAACAAAAAAATAATATAAAATTCACTGCCCATCGCTTTTAACTACTTCTATTAGTTAAAAAGTTTTTATTTAATATGATAGGTCCATATTCTAATTATCTAAGGCTCGACATTCTAATTTATTAGATGTTTCTTTTAGTTCACGTGACAATTGTTATTTTTGATGGGTTGACCAGTAAACTCATGATTCAGAATTTTGAAATAAATTTTAATTTAATTTATTTAAAATTGATTACTAATCGGATCAACAATAAAAATGAAATGAAGTTATTTTGATAAAAAAATTTGATTGTGACCTGAAGGTTAACTCGAAAACCCAAGGACTCAGGTCTTTTTCTTCTTCCTGTGGGGTCAAGTAGGATAATTGAAACTGTCCAAAGAACAAAGGAATTTTGAAATAATGCCGAAATGCTTGTAAAGAACTACAAAATCTCAACATGGCAAGCATAAGACGGTCAAGAAAACTTGGATACGCATCTGTAGTGGTCTCAATTCTTTTGTATTTCTTTGTCTAATGGCGTTCTGATTTTTATTTTTTATCAGGCTTATGGCTACGCTTGATAGATCATAAACAGACATGAACCCGAAAAGAATTGGCTTATGAGCCTGTGGAAGATAGTCCATATGATTTCACTTCTAATGATGTATCTGGTAATATCATTAGGTTCATCCAGTGCTAAAATATTTCCATTTTCCTTGAACCTTATAGTAGAATCTCATAATCCCCTTACTTTTGTTGATCATGGAAATAATTAAGAAAAGAAAGAGAAGCATGTGGTAATTAAATGTGAAATTTCATATATATGATACTAAAGAGACAGATGGAATCCACAATGCTCAAATGAAAGCAAACAAACAACACAATTCTTCACATTACTCCATAGACAAGTATAAGAACAAAGCACTCAAAAGATATCTTCGACAAGACAATTAACTAGATAATCAAACTCAAAATGAAACTAGTTTCCAGCTGGTGGTGGCGAGAGGAATGGAATAGAGAGGATTGTAGTTGGGATAGGGATGGTGGGAATATTTGAGGACATGCTTGGAAGTGGTGACAAGGTCACCTTGGGGAGACTAGGCGTTGTTGGCAGGCTGGGAAGTGGAGGCAGAGTGGGTTTAAGTAGTGAAGGTTGTGTGGTGGACAAAGTTGGAAAGGTGGGCTGTGACAGTACTGGTATAGAAGGTATTGGTGGCAACGTTGGTTTAGGCAAATTCAGCACGAAAGGTAAAGGGGGCAATTGCAGAAGATGACGAGTTGCCTCGCCGCCGAGGAAAAAGAAAGCAATGAAGAGAGCCAAGATGAAAGAGTTAAAACTTGCCATCTTGCTTCTGAATTTGGAAATAAAGTACAATCATTCATTGAAAATCACCAAGCCATTTATTTCCTTACACGAAACCTAGAAACTTCTGAAAAGGATCATTTCCTTGTTTATGAAATAAAAATGGATGAACATTATATATATATATATATATATTATAGAAAAAAATTAGGTGAGAATGTTAGGAAAGAATTAAGCATGGTAGAAACATATCATATTCATATTGTTTTACTCTTCTAAGAGGTAAATTACAACACTTTCATGACACATTTATATTAATTTATAGAGAATTTTAGATATTGGATAACTAAAAGGATAGCTTTAATGTAGAATTCAAAATTAATTCTAACAATATGCAAGCCAGGATGTGTCTAATGTGGAGATCACAACAATTCTTTAGAAATCAACATGGTAGTTTCTTATCATTTCCATTAGTATCTCTCATAAACAATTCTTGAAACAGTATACCAACATTATTTTCATATGAAAATTCAAGAGACAACACAAATAACTGAAATCCTCGGCAGTTTGCATGCCACGAAAAATATAAAAGGAAATAAGAGGTCATTTTGCATGCATGAACTTTTAGTTACGTGCTTATATATGAAGCCATACTTTTACCATTTACATATATTCCAGATATATGCTGGCTTCAAAGTAAAAATGATCTTAAGGTCCATTACGAACAGCAGCAGCCGTGTTGGGGAATGACACTATGGAGGGCTCGGCACTGAAGGGATAATTGGTGGAAGTAGAGGCAACCTGACAGGTGATGGATCAGGCTAATTAGGAGGAACTGTAAAGCCAGGAATATTACGTGTAAATACAGTGTGATCGTGAACATAGTCGTGTACATTGATTCAGCGCGTAAATGCAGTGCGGCAAGCTGCTGCATTTGGTGAGTTTTGTTGCATGTGCTGGCCAAAACTTAGGAACTTCAAAATCTGAATTCAGGCAACTAGTACACATTACTCCAGCCGCTGTTAAATTTTAGGAGTAGGGCATCTTAGTACAGCTGGTTATTCACAATGATGGTTGAGGCCTTATTGTTGTTTTATTTTATTACGTAGCAGAGGATACTGCCAGCATAAATTGGGCATTACAAAGTATTCGCAGACATTCTTATCTGGTTACCCTATTTTTCCTGTAATGCTGAAACTAGTGAAACTCAGGTATTTTTTTTTTCATATGGAGGTATACGCAAAATCATTTTTGTAATTGTGCTTATGCAACCCTACTTCTTAGATTACCTTTTGCTTTGTTTTATGATGGTGTTTCGGCATATCTGTTATAGAAAATGAAAAACATTTATGTTTAAATAGAAAAGTTCATATTGCTAAGGTATTGCGACCAGGTATAAAGGAGAGTCAGGGATGTTTTCTGCAGAATTCATTTTCCCAGGACTCCTTTTTTCAGAAATACAGGTTCTGTTGTTAGAAATAATGGAGTGCAAGGTGATGGAATTGAAATTTTGAAAATGTAGCTCGGCTTACAGACTGGAAATTTTGGTTTTATAAAACCGAGAATGTATAAATGGACACAAACTTGCATGCAGAGGTAAAGCTTACGCTGATGGCTCGATCAGGGAAACTTCGTAATGTGAGATGACAGGTTTTTTTTCAAAAGTTGATTAAGGAGAAAACATAAACGAAAATGAAATTTTAAGCAAACAACCTTTTATTCTGTAATAATGCATTAAAATACACACAGAAGTATATGGAAACTACAGTTCCGAGATAGAGGAAACTAATAAAGCACACTGAAGGAAGAAGAAACACCCCAAATAAGCTCACATATGTGAGCCTAACTATAAATACATACAACTACAAGCCTTCATTCCCTCCCAAGTCATCCAAGACAGACAAAATTCCTTAAAAAAGAAACATGAAAGACTGCTGTATGTCCTGCATCGCAAGAAAGGAAGCGCAAAAAGGGTAAACTATATTAAGAGAAGATAAATTGAGCGAACTCAAGGGCTAGAGGTTGCTGGAGGAGGGGAAAGGAATGGAATAGAGGGAATTGTTGGAATTGTGGGGATTGAGGGCATGCTTGGAAGAGGAGGCAAAGTGACCTTTGGGACTGTAGGAAAGGTAGGGATGGTGGGAATGCTAGGAAGTGGTGGCAGTGTGGGGTTAGGTAGGGATGGTTGAGTTGTAGGCACGGTGGGCAATGTGGGCTGAGGAAGGTTTGGAATAGAAGGCAATGGTGGCATTGGTATCTTAGGCAATGGTGGCAACTGGAGGAGATGACGGGCAGCTATGCTAACATTCATGCTCGAAAATGTCAGAGCGATGAATAAGGCTAGGATAAAGCTGTTGCAAGAGGCCATCACTAGAATTCAAGATACAATACTTGTGATCACCTGAAATGTAGGACAAATAAGTTGTTCTATTCGGCTTGTATGGGAATGTTAAGGCTGATTATACAAGTATTTATTGACATGGAATCATTATGGTGACTTAGGCACTACTAGTTGGTTGGAAAATCCTGAAAGACGATTTTTAGGTTTATTGTTAGTTCACCTACTTCTATATCACATTAGTTGACTATTTCTTTGAGATTAATCTGTTTGGTTATCCAATTAGAGTTCATGGACAAACAACGAATCTTAAAAGTGTCTTTCTTTGGTTGATCCTCCGTTAAGTTCTCGGCTCATAAATTAGTATATTACTGCTCTTCTCGAAATTAATAAAATTATACAACACATGTTGTTAGTTTGCAGCAAGCAACCATGACTTGGAACCCTTGAGTTTACTTGTTGGCAGTTCATCTTCTCATGTGCATTTTGTTGAAAAGATGTCATAGGCTTCTTACGGGTGTTGTTGAATAAGATTTGGCAGGTTCTTGGGGTTGGTGAGTTGAAGTCTCATAATTAATGCCTCGTCGCTACAAAAGGAAAGTCCAAGTGATGACAGAACAGTCAAATATAAAAACAGTTTCCTGGACTCACAGTCTCCAATACCATTATTTGAAGAAAACATTACTAAATATTGGCCAAGTGCAGGGCATTAGCCAAGTTTGCAAGATAAAACAAATCATATTTATAACTGCAAATTATAGGTGCCGTTAAGAAGGGAATCTATGCAACATTTTCTGGAAGTGAATAAAAGGGTGGGTGTGTTTCAAGCAATGAATAACATGTTAACAGATCATATGGCAATTCGTCAAGTGTCATTAACAGGTTATTCATGAATCAATTGTATATGTACAACCTTAAGCAAACATGGTTTTAAGTCATTTACAATAAACCGCGCGCCATTTCAACCGATGTTTCGCACGGTGGAGGTTTTTCTAAGAGCTGCAACCGCGAAAAAGATAATTGCAGACATCAAATGTGATGTTTTGAAAATTAGTAGGAAAGGGCAACCAAGTTCTTGGTGGCTTAAAGAGTAAGTATAATTAAATGAGAGATATTGTGGTAATTGAATAATAGTTGATAAATATAAATAGGAAGAAAATAAAACAAAAGAATAAATGAGGGAGCTGTGTTTTTTTTAGAGCAAACGTAAGAGAGGGAGAAGGAAGAAGAAGAGAAAAGAGGGGAAGAGAAGGAAAAGGGAAGAGATTGAGAAGAAATAACTTTAAAGGTAAGATTTAGGTTGTTAAATGTATAAATGTGTTGTTTAAAATTTAAATTTATGTTTTGATAAATATTAGGGTTTTGAAAATTTGTGTTTTGGGCTAATTGATGAATTAATTTGAATGTTATAGGGTTGATTGTTGTGGGTAATTGATTAATTAGTTGATTTTGAAAGATTATTGGTAAAGATGATGATGTTGAGTTATGATTTGTGTAAATTGTGAATTTTGAGTTGGAATTCTGGAAAGAACAGTAGGTAATCTGTGAAGAATTCTGGGTTTGAGGTTGAAGATGACGAAAATTCAATTTGGTCTCTCAATTTGTGGAAATTACAGTTTAGTCCCTAAACTTTGGGAAAATTATAATTTGACCCCTAATGGTATTTTGAGATTCTGGACAGTGTTATTATGAGGTTAAGGATGATGAATCTCAGTTTGATAATTGATTTGGAATATTTCCAGTTTGGTCCCTAAATTTAAGAATTTACATTTTAGTCCCTAAACTTTAGGAAAAATTATAATCTGACCCCTAATGGTATTTTGAGATTCTGGACAGTGTTATTATGAGGTTAAGGATGATAAATCTCAGTTTGATAATTGATTTGGAATATTTTTAGTTTGGTCCCTAAATTTTAGGAATTTACATTTTAGTCCCTAAACTTTATAAAAATTACTTTTAGGTCCCTAGTTCGTTCTGGACAGAATGAAGGATGGTTTATGGGTGAAATTTCAGTATGGTTATATATTTACAGTTTGGTCCAGTTTTGGTAAAATTACATTTTGGTCCCTATTTGGATAATTATCGTTTTAGTCCCTAAACCTAGGAGAGTAAACCTAGTTTTATTTTATGCATTGAGATATTTTGTTTGATTTGTTTTTGAGTATATTTCATATATTGTTGTAGGTTCTCCTAACAATCCTCAATAGGATTTTCGGGTCTTTCGTCTGACGTTCCTTTAGTTCTATATTTTCCGGGTGAGTGGGATAATCTTTAATTTGCATATAATATAAGTAAATATGTATGTTGATTATATGATGAGTACGATTAGTTAATCTCTTGACTATTTATATTTATATATTTTGCTTTGTTTTCCGAGTACTCATCTATTCTTGAAATTTGCACTCGCATTTTATCGAACTAAATTCTATTTGATATGATATACGTTTCTTTGATGATTCTGTAAATATCTATTATGCCTTGATATAGGACTTGTCAGTAACTTCATGCTAACGGAGAGTAGTTAGCCTATGTGCACATAGTATTCTGTATACCTAGCTGATGAGAGAAGCATCAGCCTGTGGCGACTGATCATCCCATAGTGGTCACCTTCGGGTGTCATCTGGTCACTTTTAAGTGTCATCTGGTCACCCTCGGGTGTCATCTGGTCACCTTCAGGTGTCATCTGATCTCTGACATGTATTCCACTACGTTATGATAATATATTTAGTATGTATATGTATATGTATATCAAGATAAATCATCTGACAAATTATTAATATGAAAATATCTAAAATGTATATTAAATATTATTCCCTCACTGAGTTGGTTGAACTCACCCCTTATTCTTAATATTATTTCAGGTTCTTAGTTTCTGATAGCAGTTGGACTTTGTTGAGTGTTTCTGCTTCTTCAGTTTTGGGTCGGTATGCCTTGCTTATTGTTCAAGGTTGTTTTGATTCGATGTCTTAGACGCTCCACTATTACTTTGTTTTAATTAAGTTTGGATTTTGACAATGTAATGAGTATTATGAATTATTATTTTTGTTTTAATTACTGATGAAGAGTTTTGAACTATCCTTTGATTTTATCAGTTTTGAGTAATATAATATTTCTCAAGATTATGAAATGCTGCGTATTTTTGAATATCTTGTTCTTTTGATATGTCTGTTTTGAGGCTTAGTGTAGGTGGGGTGTCCTTTCGACACTGCTCCTGCGTTGCCGGTCATGAACCCGGGATTCGGGACGTGACATCAAATTTAAATTTTGAATCAAGTTACCAAATATGCTACCATCAGTTTATGATAACATCTTTCGTTCTTTTTCTTTTTTTCACGGGATCTCTTTTCTGCATTTTACGATTACTGGTCTGAACTTGTAGAAACACAAAATCGATATAAAACCAGTTTATCAGCCAGTACTTCTGCAGTAGAGGAATATCAGTTAGTAGCAATGGTTTGTGATGCGCAAATCTAGATGACTGCTTTATGCATCAAGAACATCTAGCCACAAAAAGCTTGCATCAGTTGTCAAAAAAAAGAAAGAGTGAAAACTAGGCCAATGATTTCTTTACCTGAAACTTTTGAAAATTCTGAATTGGATAATTTCCTTACGTGTAAAATATAAATGCATTAACACATGCAAAATCGGAATATGCATTACTGGATGTATGTATTGGTGTGGAGATCTCACAACAATCCTTCAGAAACACAAAGGGACACAAAGGGTAATTTATTATCATGGGTAATTTATTATCATTTCAAATAGCATCTCAAACACAGTACTGAATTCAATCAGAACACATAGATGCATCTAAACAGTAAATGCACTAACTGTTCCATGGTTAAGATTATTTCAACAGAATTATTGAGAATCTAGAAGAAACCATTTTCATATCCAAGATTGTATCCATAAGGAGTCATTGTTGTGCTGCTTTGATTGAAAGGAGTCCCAGTCATGTTTGTGTTGAAAGCATCATGTTTGTGTTGAAAGCATGTTTGTGTTGAAAGCCGTCAGGGTTCTGTTTGAACTGAATGGAGCCACAGCCATGTTTGAGTTGGATCCTGTATTACTGGTATCAAAGGGAAGATTCCCAGCAGTGCCGGGGTTTGGAGAGAAAAAAGGCTGTGGAGGAGTTGAATTTTGAAGCAGAATCTGCTAGGCTTGCCTGGCCAGATTCTGCTATAGAGTTAGAAAAGATTCTTTCAATTGTTCAAGCTGTGCCAAGTCAAGTTCCTGAATAGGACTCTGCCACCAGTTCTGACTCTTACTAGCTTTCCTCAGTTTGTCCAGCTCTTCACCTCTTTTCTTTTCCATCTCCAGTTGGTTTTGCGCCTAGCGAATCATTTATTAGTAAAAAGAATATTTTGGTTTTCATTTGTTAGGTTGGTTGCCATTAATGTGCAACAACCATTTGCTATTGCACCAACCATGTGCACTCATCCAAGATGTCAAAGGTTGGCAGCCACCATTGTTGAAGAAGAGTTGGAGTTGGCAGCCACCTTTGTTGAAGAAAAGCCTCCATGAATGCCTATAAATAGAGGCATATGCAAGAGAGCAAAATGAGTGAAAAGAATTATGAAAATGTGAAGAGAGTAGAGAGGAAGAGAGAGCTGCAATGGTAGCAGCCTTGCTGTCATTGCAGCAAAGAGAGTTGAGAGTTGAGTATGAGAGGGTGTAATTCTCCTCCTCCATGTATTTGTTTTGTATTCTTTCTCTATCTCTAAATATATTGACTTCTTCCGTGGATGTAGGCGGTTTTGCCGAACCACGTTAAATATTGTGTCAGTGTGCTTGGCTCTCCTATGAGCAAGTATTAGTACATCACCGGTCGAAATTCCCAACAGTTCTGACTCTTACTAGCTTTCCTCAGTTTGTCCAGCTCTTCACCTCTTTTCTTTTCCATCTCCAGTTGGTTTTGCGCCTAGCGAATCATTTATTAGTAAAAAGAATATTTTGGTTTTCTGATGAAAGCACACTGATGGTACTAAAAATTGCAATCAAAATTCACGTCCTGAGTTAGCTTCATGTTGAGTTCACGGATCCTAGCATTCCGGTGAGCCTCAATCAGATGAAAAGCACCTGAAGTTTGGTGAATATTCCCCGAGACATAACGTTCCACCACCTTTTCAACAGAAGGGTGGCCAAAAGAGAAGACCTTCTTGCCAGGCGAGAACACAATGAGGGCGACTTCAGCACCACACAGAGTTGAAATTTCACTAGCCTTCTTGAAAAGGCCAGACCTACGCTTTGAGAAGGTTACCATTAGATTACTTTCGTTAGCTATTTTGACCATCTCCAACTTTTGGCGACCCATGCTGCTTCTAACCATGGTTAACCAACAAGAAGAAGGACCTCACCAAAAAAAAAGAGAGAGAGCTATCTTTAGAACAGTACAGGTAAAGGGGAAATGGTTCACACTTTATACAGGTTTCAGGACCTGAATCTGAGACTTGGAGACGTCAAAATTCACTGAATTCTTGGTGGCAATTCTAGCGTTATGCTTGCATTTATTAGCTTTCTAGTTTTGGAGGGTTCAGAATCCCCTGAGGACTGACATATATGGTATGGAAATTTCACACTATCAACTTGTAGAACCAATCTTTGTTTGCTAGACCGTTCTCCGATTCACCGCCAATGAGATACGTCGAGGAAATCTCTTGGAAACACCCTTGGCCACAGCCTGACCTCCCTTGCCGTCCTGTGAGGAGTAGGTGAAATGGTCTAGCCTGCACTTGAAACATCTCAGATCATAAAATCCCCTGGTTGGACTTACCAAATGCGTAACTACTAATTGTCCAATATGAGATATGGGATGTTTGGATGAAGAATTTGTATGCATATCTACCATTATGTTTTTATATAGGAAACTTGCTAGTAATTAAATTTCTTTCCTCTTATAAGAGTATAGCAGAATCCATAATCTGATATAACTCCAAAGGAAAATGTGACATCCTTCTGCCCAAGTAATTTTCTCTGCTTTCATACATTTTCCTTTGCAATTGCAAGTAAATTTTGCTTTAAAGACCCCCCCACCCCCACAAATAAAAAAAAAATTATCTTGGTTGTAATAATTACATCATTCATATGGTTTATTTCCCAGAATATTCTTAGTTTTCTATTCAAGAGACTATCCTTATCCTATCTCTGTGTCATAATGGAAATCCCCACAAAGAAATCTCCGATATATTTGTTTGGTTTTTTATTGGAAAGGAATGTGTTTTTTAATGGAACGGAATGCCCTTATGATTACTGTGGCAATTTAATTTCGTTGCATCACATATATTGAAGATTTTGGAGGCAAAGTAAAATTGAGAAAACATAATGCAATGATCATATATCTCAAAGTACAAGCATAAATACAAAGTACCATCAAAATACGGTATAAACAAAACAAATGGCAAAAATCCCGACAGTACACTAAGGACATGGTGCATGCTAGGAAGTGGAGGCAAGGTGGGCTTCGGCAGTGAAGGTAGAGCGGTTGGCAAGGTGGGTTGTGGCAGTGTTGGTACAGAAAGCAATTATGGCAATGTTAGTTTAGACAAATTCAGCAGTTGCAAAAGATAGCGAGCTGCTTTGCCGCACCAAATTGATAGAAAAATGTGTGCAAAACTAAAACACTTGAAACTTGCCATCTTGCTAGTATTTCAAGGCCTTACAAGATTATGAACTGTGTGTGTGTTGTGTATTTCAAGAGTGTATTGTATAGGATTCTGTGTGACATAGCAGGGCTTGTCTTGGGGTTTATGTAAATAGACATGAAGCGGGGAGATCTCTCTTCAATGATGGTTTAGTTGAGAAAACAGAGACAATCATTTTTAGTTTTGTTTTTGTTAGCTCATCTTCTTATCTATGTACATTAAAAAGAAGAACATATGTTCATTGTTGTTGACCACCTATGTTTTTCTTTGTTGGATTAAAAAATTTTAAATTCCTCAATTCAATCTCCCATTTTTTGTTAATTGGTGCTGTCCAGAATGTTACCAAATAAATAAATAAAAATGTTAAGACTTGGATAAATAAGTTAATGTTTAATCACTATAAAAAGCGAGGATAATGAATACAAATGAGATATATCTCTCTATAATTTTTATTTTAAAATTACATAAATTTACTTTAAAAATATTCTTAAAATAAATTTTTTTATGTCTTCATTCATGATTTTAAGACAATAAAAAAAATACATCCTGAAAAAGTAATATACACACACACACTTAAAAAGAATATCAATCTTAGATATAAGAGACAACATAGCTAAATGGGTTATCCTTTCAAGTTTCAAACTTAAAAACATTGTGCTTTTTTTAGGAAAATAAATAAATTACTATAGGACTTATTACAAAGCAACAAGTCAAATATTTCATAAAATTCCACAAAATTTACTAAAGATGAAAAATTTACAAAAGGCATTAAGTTTTGAAATCTTATCCTATGGAGGGGAGAAATTTACTAAGGATGGATTTCAGCTGAAATGCCATAAACAACAACCTTATGTTTTATGCTTAAAATATTATGATTATCCATAGGTTGGATCCAAAATTATATTCAACTCTCTCTTGCCTTCCTTTTCCAATATTGCTTTAAAGTTTATTTTATGTAGTTTTATTCTAGTTATTTGCTCGCTCTCTACAATGGGTCAAATGTTTTTTTTTCAATAAAAATATTGAGCATGTAGATTTTTTTGAACTATTTTTTCTTAAAAAATCCATAAATATAAATAAAAAATTTTATGCACATGCTTAATTAAATACATTGAGAATTATTTATATAAATAAATTAAAAAATAATTCATTAACAATAACTAAAAATAAAATTGAAATAATTAAGAGATAAATGCAGATTAAGATCTTTAATCTCAAAACATGGGTTATTTATCTATTTGTGTTTAATAATTTTTTTATTAAAATAAGTTTTTTATTAAATCAAATAATAATAGAAACTGATACACATATAAAATTAATTGAATAAAAGAAAAGAAAAAATATTATGCAAGGTTGTACATATTAGAAATATTATCCAAAAATAAATATTTTTTATTTTTAAAAATAAATTTTGTCTATATAAATTTAAAAAAATAGGTGAATCATAATAACCTCTTTAAAAATTGCATGCATACAAAATAATTAAAAAAAATAATTTCTATTTAAAAAGTCTAAATAAGCAAAAAAAAAGTCACAAAGAAGAGATATTAATTGAAATATAAATTGAAAAATTATTTAAAAAAGATATAAAAGACATTAAATTAAAACAAAAAAATTAAAATTAAGAAAGAAAGAAAAGATTAGATGTTGTTAAGCTTGATGAAAGTTATGTATTTAGCTTATTAGAAAAGGGCCACACTTAGGCCTTTATTTTTTTTAAAAGTTGATTTATTTTTTGTTCTCAATGTTTTTTTAAAAAAAACATATAATGCATTTTCAACTTGAAAAAAAAATTGGATTCTTGGGTTTTGATTTGACCAAATATCTAGAAAAAACCCTAAACTTCTTGATAAATACCATAAAAACATAAAACAATCCACACAAAACATCAAAATCAACTTGAAACAAAAAATTTCTTCCAAGCTTAGATATAATTTTTAGATAATTTTAAAGTTTAAAAATATTTAAGTGAAACTCTTTCATTAAATGGAATCAGTTAGTACTAAAATTGATAATTTTTGTGATTGAAATCATTATCAACACTAATTTTTTTTTTTCTAATATTGAAATCTAGTGAATCTATTTATCTCATCTCTTTAAACAAGGGCTAAAATATAAGAAAAATGAAATTTAAAATCAAAATTGAATCTTAAACATTCAAAGAGACTTAAATTATATCATTCTAAAGATTAAGAACCAAAGTATATTTTTGTATAAACTTGGAACACATCATCTATTTTGGATGCCCTCACCAGAGACGAGGGGAAAGGAATGGTGTGAATATTCTTCAGTGCTTTGCTTGAATTTGAGAACCCGTAGAATTAATATGCATGGTATATGCAGTGGATGCCATCAATTTGTAGAACCAACCTTTCTTGGTTGCACCATTCTCTGACTCATTTCTGGCGAGATATATACGATGAGGAAATTTATTGGAAAGATGCCATCTGCCTCTTGTTGCGTCCTGTGATGAGCACGTGAAATGGTAAGCCAGCAAATGGAGCATCTCGGAAAATTTAAACCCTTAGTTGGACTTCATTATTTATAAACAATTCTCCAGGAGATGTGAGAGGTACTATGTTTTTGAACACTAAACTGGCTGCTATTGGACATTGTTTCATCTTGTATGAGTATAAAACTTGTGCGGCCGAAACCAGAAGTCTGATTTATCTGGAAAGAAAAATGTTACATTATATGGCATGAAACATCCTTTTGGTTAAGTTTGCTGCCTTGATACATTCTCGTTTGATGCAGGCGGAAGCTAGACAATAACAACATGAATTCACAAGAAAAAAGATACTTAAAAGAATATTTAATGAGTGAAAAGAGTCCAGATTTAATGAGTGAAAAGAGTTGCGGACGTGAATCTTGAATTAAAACATATGGTGGGTGGTTGAATCCGTACAAGGTTTATAAAAACTTTAAATAGATCAGAAAATCCTATTTGTACTAAAAAACAACTAGAAATCCAAAAATATAAAGCAAATAAACATAAGTTCCAAGTCAAAACATAAAATTCAAAACAATAAAAAATAATAAAAATTGTTATATCAAAAGCATCGTGCTCAAAACATGGTTTTGAAATATCTGACGGTCTATTTAATAACACAATAATGCTATGAAGAAAATTGCTCATAGAATCACAAGTAAATATTTGAGTCTGATTTAATAGTTGAATCTCTTGTTATTGCAGTTTTAAGAAGCTTGCTATTTCTGGCTATTTCAATTTTTTTTTAAAATCTAAACCTGTTCATTAATCCATAAAATGGTATTTGCTAGGCGATTGACATTGTCTGTCTAGGCCAGATCTCCGGCTGTTAATGTCATATTATTTACCTAACCTAAATTCTCACAACCAACCATGTTTACAAGATATTTTGGGATGAAAATAGAAAAGTCTAAATAATAGAACCTGCTGTTATTTTTCAGTATACGGCAATAAAATTTTGTTTGAAAGACTAATATTTTTTCCTGTACTAAATCGGTTAATTCATAGTAATTACATCATACACATTATCAATGCTTCAGAATGATATTGATTCCTATTCAATAGACTATCCTCATCTAGATCTTTTTGCCATAAAGTTTCGGAGTTTATGAAATGGAAATCCACAGCAAGAAATCTCTGGGGTGCCTGGCTAATGGAAATTCAAATTCATTTCGACAAACTAAAATCGAAAAAACATAATACAATGATCATATATCTCAAAGTACAAGCATAAATACAAACTGCCATCCAAATACAGAGTAAACAAACATAAACAGAACTGAAACAAATGATAAACACCCCTGTAATGCTCTAAAGACACAAGAAAGGAAGAATTCTGCAACTCGATGGCATGAAACTACTCTTGTATATGCTATATCCAATCAAAGCCATACTAATGGTACATGTAATTAAGCTTTCACACCAAGGAACAAAGTGAAGAAAATCAAGGCTTAGTTGTAGCTGATGGTGGGGAGAACGGAATAGAGGGAATTGCAGTAGGGATTGGAATTGTTGGGATTGAAGGCATGCTTGAAAGTGGAGGCAATGTGACCTTGGGGACAGCAGGCATTGTTGGCATTGTTGGCATTGTTGGAAGTGTCGGCAGGCTAGGAAGAGGAGGCAAAGCAGGCTTAGGCAGGGAAGGTTGAGTGGTTGGCAAGGTTGGCATTGTGGGCTGTGGTAGAGTAGGTATGGAAGGCAATGGTGGCAATGTTGGTTTAGGCAAATTAGGCAACTGCAGAAGATTACGAGCCGCTTCGCCAGCCGAAAATGACAATGCAATGAAGAGAACCAAGATAAAACAATTGAGACTTGCCATGCTGCTAATGATTCAAGGCCTCACAGGACTAAGAGCTAGCAAGATATATAAAGTTGTAGGAAATCTTGTGTGCCATTCCAGGACTCCTCTTTGGGGTTTATATAGATGGAGATGAAGAGGGGAAATCTATATCTCTGGCATGGTTGGTATAGTTGAGAATACAGGAGACTGGTTTTGAGTTTTGTTCTTGTTAGTTCACCTTCTTATCTATGCCATTGAAAGTAATATATCATATCTATGCCAACTTACAGGCCCTTTAACAAGTGTAAACACATAGCCTGTTGTGGAACGACGCTTGTCTAAGTCACCAGCATAGTCCGAATCCACATAACCAACTAAATTTTGTTCGAGTCTATCATCCCTCTCAAACTTCAAACCAATATTAGTTGTGCCATGAATGTACTGTAGAATCCACTTAACTGCCTGCTAGTGACCCTTTCCTGGATCATGCATATACCTGCTCACCATACTGATTGCATGTGAAATATCTGGTCTCGTACAAACCATTGCATACATTAATGCACCAACTGCATTTGCATACAGAATTTGAACCATATGCTTGCGCTCTTCCTCTGTGCGTGGAGACATTGAAGCACTTAGCTTAAAATGAGGAGCTAGAGGTGTACTTACAGGCTTGGTCTTACCATCTACCCCAAATCTCTTTAGAATTTTCTTCAAGTATTGGGTCTGTGTCAAACAGATTGTGCCTTTTCTTCTGTCTCTCTGAATCTCCATGACAAGAATCTTCTTAGCTTCTCCAAGGTCCTTCATTTCAAACTCAGTTCTCAGTTGAGCTTTCAGTCTGTCAATCTCCACTTTGCTCTTTGATGCAATCAATATATCATCCACATATAAGAGCAAATAGATGAAAGAACCATCAAGAAGTTTGCGAAAATATACACAATGATCAAACTGACTCCGTGTGTATCCATGTTCTATCATGAACTTGTCAAATCGCTTATACCACTGGCGAGGAGATTGTTTCAATCCATACAGTGACTTCTTCAGTTTACAAGCCCAATTCTCTTTCCCAGTTACTTTGAAACCATCTGGCTGAGACATGTAAATTTCCTCTTCCAAATCTCCATGTAGGAAGGCAGTTTTCACATCAAGTTGGGCTAACTCCAAATCAAACTGTGCAACCAAGGCTAGCAGAATACGAATTGATGAATGCTTAACAACTGGGGAGAATACCTCATTATAATCTATCCCCTCCTTCTGAGCATAGCCTTTTGCTACCAATCTTGTTTTGAAACGGATGTTGTCTTTTCCTGGATTACCTTCCTTCTTAGCATATACCCACTTGCAACCAATTGTCTTCTTTTCCTTAGGGAGTTGTACCAAATCCCAAGTCTGATTCTTGTGGAGAGATTTCATCTTTTCATCCATTGCCTCTTTCTATTTTGCACTTTCTACACTCTGTACTGCTTCTTTGTAGGTGTAGGGGATTCCGTCATCAATCACCGAAAGTGCATAAGCCACCATGTTACAATACCGAGCAGGTTTCTTGATAACTCTTTTCGGTTTACTCGTTGCAATGGATTCTTGTTGTGTGGTTGCTGAAGTTGTTGCATCCTCTTCATCTGAACTTTCATCTAAATCTCCTTCAGTAGAGATTGTCTGAACAGTCTTTATAGGAATGACTGAAGTCTCCAACTCCACCTGTTGTGCATCACCAGTCTGTTTTTCCTTCTCCTGTGATTTCTCTTGCTGTAGCATGCCAGACTCATCAAAAGTGACATCTCTACTCAAAATCACTCTCTTTGATTCAGAACACCAGAGTCTGTAACCTTTTACTCCTCCACTAAAGCCCAAAAATATAGCTTTCTTGGCTCTAGGATCTAGCTTGGACTCAGTAACACGATAATATGCTGAGCAACCAAATATACGCATAGAGTCATAATCATTTGCAGGAGAGCCTGACCATACCTCTAAAGGGGTTCTTCCATTTAATGCTGCTGAAGGTAACCGGTTAACAATATGACGAGCATAGCTTAATGCCTCGCCCCAGAACACTTTGCTTAGTCCTGAATGTGATAGCATACATCGGACTTTCTCTACCAATGTGCGATTCATGCGTTCTGCTACTCCATTTTGTTGTGGTGTTTTGCGCACAGTAAAATGTCGCTTGATCCCTTCATCCTGGCAAACTTTAAAGAAAGGATCTGAAGTGTACTCACCACCATTATCTGACCGAAGAGTCTTAACTCTCCTTCCCGTTTGAGTCTCCACCATTTTCTTCCATTTCAGAAAGATATCAAGGACCTCATCCTTGTGTTTCATCATGTACACCCATACTCGTCTTGAGAAATCATCAATAAAAGTAACAAACCAACGATTACCTCCAAGAGATTCATTCTTTGAAGGTCCCCATATGTCTGTGTGAACATAATCAAGAATCCCTTTTGTATTGTGTACCGCAGTGCCAAACTTGACTCTTGTCTGTTTTCCAAGAACACAATGCTCACAGAACTCATGCTTCCCAGTTTTGGCGCCTTTTAATAGACCTTGCTTGACCAATCCTTGCAAAGCCTTTTCACCGGCATGCCCTAAGCGCATGTGCCAAAGTCTGGAATTATCTGCTTCATCATCTTCTATGCTTTTGGAAACAGCTGTTGTACCAGTAACAGTAGATCCATCCAGGAAATATAAGTTTCCTTTCCTCGTGCCTCTTAAGACAACTAATGCACCACGAATTGCTCTCAGGACTCCACCATGCATGATAATCTTATAACCATTGGATTCTAGGACTCCAAGTGAGAAGAGATTTTTCTTCAGGTCAGGTGCATACCGTACCTCTGTTAGTGTCTTGACTACCCCATTATGCATCTTCAGATGGATAGTCCCAATCCCTTTGATCTCACAAACATCATCATTACCCATCAACACAACTCCTCCATCGAACTCCTCGAGTCTCGAGAATAAGTGCTTGTTAGGGCACATGTGATAGGAACATGCAGAATCAAGAATCCATTCACCAGAATGGTTTTCTGGTGATGAGACCATGAATGCAGAGTCTCGTTCATCCTCATCTCGTGCAACGTTCACAGTTGGTTCATCTTTTTCCTTATTGCCCTTGATCGGACAATCTTTCTTCCAGTGCCCCTTTTTATGACAAAAGGCACACTCATCTTTTACAAGATATCGTCTGTTTGATGATTCTCCTCTGGATTTTGAGCGAGATCTCCCTCGCCCTCGAAATCTTCTAGGGTTTGTTCTGCCTCTAACTGTCAATGCTTCTGACGTTGACTCCTTGTGAACAATCTGATCCTTCTTCCGGTACTCATTGTTCACCAAAGCATTGGACACATCAATGAATTTAATCTTTTCTTTACCATACAGTAAAGTGGTGACGAGATGTTCATATGTGTCAGGCAGTGAATTCAATAACAGTAGAGCTTTATCTTCATCATCAATTTCCACATCTAAATTCTTCAAATCAGCTATCATTTTATTGAAATCATTCAGATGCTCATTCATAGAAGTACCTTTCTTGTGCTGAAAGCGGAAGATCCTTTTCTTCAAGTAGAGACGATTCTCTATACTCTTTTTCATAAACTTGTCCTCTAGTGCTTGCCATAATTCCTTTGCAGAGTTTTGTTCTGAAAAGGCGTACTTCTGATCCTTTACAAGACAAAGTCGGATGGAACTACAAGCTAACCGATTTATCCTTTCCCAGCTTTTATCATCCAAATCCTCCAGTTTATCTTCTAGAGTGAAATCCAAATTCATTTGGACAAGCATATCCATGACTTCACATTTCCACATGCCAAAATTACCCTTCCCATCAAACTTCTCCACCTCAAATTTGGTACTCGATACCGGGATATATTGTGGAGGTATACTAGCATTTCCCACTAATCTTTCTTCTAGAATATCAGTCATTAGGACGTCTTTGGATTACAAATAGACTTGTATATGCTATATCCAATCAAAGCCATACTAATGGTACATGTAATTAAGCTTTCACACCAAGGAACAAGGTGAAGAAAATCAAGGCTTAGTTGTAGCTGATGGTGGGGAGAACGGAATAGAGGGAATTGCAGTAGGGATTGGAATTGTTGGGATTGAAGGCATGCTTGAAAGTGGAGGCAATGTGACCTTGGGGACAGCAGGCATTGTTGGCATTGTTGGCATTGTTGGAAGTGTCGGCAGGCTAGGAAGAGGAGGCAAAGCAGGCTTAGGCAGGGAAGGTTGAGTGGTTGGCAAGGTTGGCATTGTGGGCTGTGGTAGAGTAGGTATGGAAGGCAATGGTGGCAATGTTGGTTTAGGCAAATTAGGCAACTGCAGAAGATTACGAGCCGCTTCGCCAGCCGAAAATGACAATGCAATGAAGAGAACCAAGATAAAACAATTGAGACTTGCCATGCTGCTAATGATTCAAGGCCTCACAGGACTAAGAGCTAGCAAGATATATAAAGTTGTAGGAAATCTTGTGTGCCATTCCAGGACTCCTCTTTGGGGTTTATATAGATGGAGATGAAGAGGGGAAATCTATATCTCTGGCATGGTTGGTATAGTTGAGAATACAGGAGACTGGTTTTGAGTTTTGTTCTTGTTAGTTCACCTTCTTATCTATGCCATTGAAAGTAATATATCATATCTATGCCATCTATGCCATTGAAAGTAATATATCATATGCTATCGTTGTTGGCTTGCTATGTTTTTCTTCTGTTTTTTTCCCCACTTGGGATTCAAAAACTTTAAATTCTTCCACTGCCCCTCTTTTTCAAGGTGAATAGGTACTGTTATGGGTTGTTGACCAGAAATCAGAGTAGATATTTGTATGATTTTGTTGCCCACAGTGTCGGTAAACAAAAAAGAGTGTAGATCGATGGAATTCAGAGAGACTACTTGTAACCCTTGAAAGTGTAAAATCGGTAAACAAAAAAGAGTGTAGATCGATGGAATTCAGAGAGACTACTTGTAACCCTTGAAAGTGTAAAAAACACAAGACCTCGTGCAAGAGAATCAAGAACAAAGTTGTGTTGGGAAAACTCGGAACAACCGGACACCAATTTACCCGGATCAATTCAGCGGAATACAATTACAATTCACAAGTCCCAATTCTTTCCCTCTTTGTGCAGTAAAACAGAATCAAACAATGATGAAAAATAATGCAAATAATCACAAAATCAACACCAAGATTTTTAACGTGGAAAACCCGATGCGGGAAAAACCCCGGGACCGTAGTCC